TTTTTATGAATATATTACATATGTTATATAAAATATAATATTGTAATACGTACATATTGTCAAGTTCCAAGCAAATTTAAAAATGTACATTTCAAGAAATTTTAAGTCAAATCAAGTCACAGTTTGCAGTTACTGTAACAAGCTACGGAAACAGACATCATTGCAAATATTACTGCAAAAATATTCAAACGATCAGTTAATAAGCTTTATTATTTTATGTAACTGTCTTCAACACTTAAAAATGATTATTGTATGCACATTGATCTTTTATTAAATATATGTTTGCAATAACCATCTTCTAACTCTTATATACATTTTCACCTTGCTTTTAAATTTTACCAATATAATCATGTTAACGAAATCAAATATCAAAAGATTTTACAGAATAATACATACATAAAAGTTTATCATGATAAGATATACAAATACTTTTGCGAGATCTATATGCTCATGTGTGTTGTACACATTAATATATAGATTATTCTTGGACACATTCTTCTAAACAAAATTACAGCAATCCATCTGGTTAACCGTCTAATTTTTCTGTCAATATCACATTTCCCACTGCCACGAAGAAGAGATTCACGTTGAAGGTGTTCGTGAAACGAGACATCCCATTTCCATGCAAATCGTCCGGGCCATAATTCCAGTAGGTTGAATCTGGAAAAAAATTACAGCATCTGTAGTTAGTTCCGGGCGGGGGATCGCATTTCAAGTATATACGTTCCACTTATTTCATTCCACGTTGTAGAGGATATCGCGTCCGGGAGCAATTCCATTATCAACGATGACTTCTGTGTCGCGGATCGGTGTTCATCGCCCGTGCATATCGATCCACCGCTCTCGCAGCTGGACTGGTATCGGGCGCGATAAAGCGAAAGGACAGCTGGTGCCGTAGGAGACCTTGAAGACCAACGGACCCCCAGCCTCTTGGGAAATGATACCACTTTGGAAGGAGCGAATGGAAATGACCCTGGGATCGCCTCCGATTCCAGCTCGCCACTCTCTTGGGTCGTTCTTGGTCAGAGACGATGACGATTCCGAGGGATAGTGTCACGGAACTGCCCTGATTAAGGAGCGGTCGCGTTCCGACCATCCCCCAGTCCACGTTAACTCTCCTCGTGCGGCCGTTCGATTCTTTGTAATTGCCGTGCCAAGTGTGCTTTCATTTCTCTACCGGAGAAATAATTATAGTGCGAGTTGAGAGCTTGGAATCACCATGGGATAGATACTTCGAATGATATGAGAAATACATTGTTCTCTTCGTTCTATGAAAATTCCATGAAATTGTTTAGTTGATACAATAATCGAAATGAACTGAATGTACCCTTATAACATTTTTAACAGTGACAACTCTGAATCTGAACTAATCAGACAGATAGTAATGAACAGACTGATAAGGAAAAAAATCTGACATAAACTTTGCTTAGATTCGGCCAGCTTGTTAACTTAAAATTTAATGAATGAATAAATAAATCCAAAGCTTTAATAAATCTAAACCTTTCACAAACCAGATGAATTAACCGACTCGATTGCATTGAAGAGAAGCGATAGAACTATGAAAAGAGAAGTTTCGAACAGCGAGGCCTTCCGCTAGTGACAGTTTATCAAATTGCAGGGCAGCCGAGCTTGCCCCTAAAGGGATGTAAGGGTCGTAAGGTGGAACGGTGGTCGGAGGGGGGTAGCTTATTAGAGCCACGACAGCAGCCCCAGCTCCACCTTGAAACCTCCAACCAACCGCCATCCTGCCGTGAGTCTTACCACCTTGCTTCCTTCCATCCAGCCATCGCCTTCCTATCTTCAACCCGGCTACCTTTCTCCTCCCTCTCACATCTCCTCTTTTGCTCCTATATAGTAGTTGAAGCAGCGTAGAAACGTGGCTCGGCATAAAGGGTCGCCTGGGACCGTCGTACTTGCCGCTCGTCTTTAATCTACGAGGTCACCAAGCAACGACGGCCGACTGCCATCCTCCTCCCGAGCAAATGAGCACGGCCTCCGCGAGACTCCGTTCGAAAGATTCCGAGTGTTCAGTCAGATTTAATATTCGCCACTCTGTTCAAAGGAGAATAGTTCTTTCTTTTCTAGGAAGAAAGGAAGGAAAGTGAAAGATTGAGATTTTATGAAAAATATATATACGCACGTGTATATCACGGGATATTTAGAGGATTTAGAAAGTAATTGATGTAACGTGGTTTTCATTAAATATAAATGCTTGAGAATAGACGTTTGTTTCCAACAGACCGGAGCAGTTTAGTTATTACAATGTCATCACTGATGGTTTCTTGTGCATTTTAGAAGAGACTGCAAAAATGCAAATATTTTCATTATCAGTATTTACTGAAGAAAAATATACAACTTTTGCTTGACGAAAAATTGTCGCTACTTTAAACTCTTATAGCTTCGTGAAAAAAAATCATTTCGAAACTTTAATCTTCAAGACCATGGATCTAGTTGTAAAAAAAATGTCTTCATCATATACAAATTCTTCGTTGTTTGAATTTGTAAAATTTTCAATAAAAAAAAAGGTACCTTCATTTATTCATTTCAAAATATCTTTAAAAATTCACAATGTAAAAATATCTTTAGAAGAAACGAATTCAATAGCAACTTTAAAATGGGCTTTAAAATGAGATTAATTAAATTGTTCTACGATTTTTCTTTTTCGCAAAGTTATACAAATTTAAAGCAACAATTCTTGATCAATACGTCAATCTATCAAACGAGCAGTTTCATCGAAAAGGAGAAAAATTTTCATAAAAACACTGTATTATAGAATTGTGACAATTGTTTCAGGATGTTTCGGGGATCCATACGAATTTATTAGGTATAATTCGCGAAGAATTGTTGATACTCCCTCTAGTAGCCAAAAATGGTTTCCTATCGATCCCTCGATTTGATATGAGCACCGTGTAACGTACGGCCCCTTAGACCTCGTATGGGGGCTGAATTTTAAAACTACCCCCTAGAGAGAAGCGGCGAGTTGGCGCCGGCCCGTCTTTTTGAATCAGACAAGCCCGTCCTCGCTGTTGCGTGAAGAAGTACAAATCCCATAGGACCGTGTGTCGATACTTCTGTCAGCATCTAGTCGACATGCTATAGCGTTCAACAAATAAGCTATCTTTTATAACGGTCTTGGAACACGAAACATATGCGTAGAAAAATGATCGAATGCAACGATTCACAGATAATTTATTGACTGTTAGAAATAGAAATAGAAGATGTCGAGTTCGAGGCTATTATACTATGAATTCGTATTTTTACAGATGCAATTGAAGAGATGAAATTCAAGTAAGAAGATAATTGTAGATGTTATAACCTTTTGAATATTTTACATATATTTCTGCGTATTATCTCTGTGCATTCTTGCACTTATAAATTTTCCACAAATACATAAGAATCTGCAGTCTATCCGTGAAAATAAATTCCTTATTTCTGATTTACGAATTACTGATTAATATATTAGTTAAATATTAATGTAATAACTAAACGTTAAATTAAATAACAATACATGGTATGTGACAAACATGAACACGTAGAGAAGAAGAAGATACATTATTGGTAAAATAATGTTCTCTAGTACGATACAATTTACATACGCTAAACATAGTTGACATGAATATATTAAATTTACCTCCACCATCAACCATGTTCGCCTCTATAATACTAAGAATCTAACGAAGAAATAAAGCGAGTTCCAGAATTAAACAACAAACTATCAGTTGTAAATCCTTCGTCGCGACGTAGCAATACGATAGGAAATACTTTAAACTCGTTCGCCAGCCAGACAGAAACTTTCAAAAGCTTTTCCTGTACATCAGCGAAACATACTCATAGACTTTGTTTGACAGATCGCCTTGCTCGTTCTTTTTTCTTTGTCAGAAAACCTGCGCACGATTCACGTTTACCCTGCCCTATCCTCCCTCCCTTTCCCAAATGTATGTCTTCACCCCGCGAAGGGAATCCTTTGATAATCCAGATTTATCTATCTCTGCCGATAATATCAGCTACTGCAGAGAGAGAGAGCGAGAGAGAGAGAGAGAATCGCGACTTCTGCCTGTGTTTTCAATAAATCAAGAGGTTGAAAGTCTACAGCCGCGGCGCGAAAAATTGATCGTCACCGGGCAAAACCGGTTTTAAGTTTCGATGCGTGTTGCTTCGCCTCGATGGCCGCTCGGCGTTCGCGAGCGAGTAAGCGCAGCCACGCTAATCGTATCGATCCAGCACTCTTAATCCATTAATGAACTTCCCGGGCTCGTTTTACGCCGGCTACCTGGGCTTTTCGCGCTCGATCCGTTACATCCGACGTACATGTACCGTAGAACTGTATCCCCCGATCGACAGACGTGGAACGAGCCGACCTGTTTCCCTCGTGCTTCCCTCTTCGAATAGAAGCAGGTGCTGTAACGTTCACAGTTTTCTGAAAGACTGATCGATAACAGTGATCCAAAGAGTGATTTGTATGATTGTCCTTTTTTTCAATTAACTGAGTCCATTTTGAGTTGTTCCTTAAGCTCAACGCAGGAAGATTTGCCAGCTAATTTGAATTAAATTTGAAATGAGTTTGAGAAATTTTGATTTTTTCTTTTCTTTTTTGTTTGGAGGATATTCAAGATCTTGAGTTTTTAATTCTTGATATCTCTTCATTAGCAAAATTAAATAATAAATGTAGCATAATTAAATATAATGAAATCAAATCTTCTCTCTTTGTAGCAAATTTCTTGTTTTTTATAAACTATCCTAGATCGTCCAAAAATTGGTAAAGTTTGCGAATTTTTTTCATAAGCAACTGCTTCGCTATTTTTTAACATCTTGGCTGAAACACACGTTTATATATAGCTCCAAAAGATCCCAATTCTTCATTTAACAATCCCTCATAAGAAAGATTTCTTTCGTCGAAGTTAATAGAATAAGTAGAATACGAATTGGATGGTAAAGAACAAAATAAAATCTTGGTAATAGTATAGTAAAACAGTATTATCCTAATAGAGTTCCTTAGTAAAACAGTATTATCCTAATAGAGCATAGAGTTGATAAAAGACAGCTTTTTTTCTCACGACAATTACTCCTGTATTCGCCACGATTTTCCCTTGCTGCGTTCTGCATACGGGGATTGACTGAAATCCTTTTTTACAGAGCTGGTAAACAAGCGATAGGTCTCCCGATGCCGGCATCCTCCGCGACGACAAATTCCTCAAATATTTATCTGTCTTTCCCTCGGAACCCTTCAATCGTCGGCGCCCCAAACGCCGCTTCCGTTTCACGCTCGCGGAGTATGTCAATCCTGACGCCTATCGACGTATGACAAATACCTCGTCCCACGACTGCTTGCACTCTCTGTCAGCCTTGACAACCGGGACAAAAGGACGTCTCGGAGGGAAGAAAAGATTCGTAAAGGGTGTCTGTCGTCAAGTCACCGCTCGCCTCGTGTTTCTTCTGATTCTTGACAATCGCTTTTCCATTCCGAGAAAATGCTACTAGACGCCGTACATAGTTTTCTTCTGCTGGGACGTCATCATGAGTAATGCGGTTTCAGTACAAGTTGTTATTATTGGAGTTTCTACAGAATTGAAATAGAAAATTTAATAGAAATAATACTAATATTTCTTCGATTTATTACTTATTAATTAAAATCTATTTAAATCAGATCTTAAAAGATACTTTTGAATATATCTCGAAAACTAAAGCGAATTAATCAACGCATATCAAGTTCAATAAGACTAACGACACATATCTACTCTGTTCTATACAATTTTCTGTGTCTTCTTACTTCCTTTCACTTGTAAAATACAACAAAACACATTATCTTCCACCCAACGTATCTTCACCCTGGAGGCTTTCAGAAGTCTCTAACAGGGCTGGAGAAACGCCTCTGGTCTGTCCAATAGATTAGGCCGCGTGTTTCTGACACACGCGGCGCAAGTTCGCAATTAATTTATTTTTCCCTAGTCGGTCGTTAATTGTTAAACTTAGATGGGCGGTCGCCGGTAATCCCGCAGTGTTAGACTTCCTAGGTTGGAAGAAAAGAGAGGAGACACGCAGTGGGACCAAGGAGCGAAAGGAACCGAGAACTGGAAGGAAAAGAGAAGAAGCTAGATGGATCGAAGTGGGAGGGAATGATGACGATCGACGAAGAAAGAGACAGCCGGCTTGAGAGGGTAGAAAATTTGTTAGGCAGGGTGTGAACCGAGAAGTTGAGGAGGGAATCCAGGCAGGAAGCCAAGACGCGACACGAACATTGGATTGGGTTACCGAGATAATTAGAATGATGATTAGGAACGGAGCACGCCTCGTTGACCAATTCTTTCGCGCGCCCTTTCTCCGGCTACCTTTCGAAAGATCAGCTTTCTTTCAAGGGGTCACCGGAACTGAATGGGGTGAAAGAGTAAATAACGGAACGATTATTGAATTAACAATGAAACAACATTCATAGTGTAACTCTGTTACAGCAATGAAATTCTCTACCTGAATGATCCGTAAGCAAGAAAGAAAACTGAATTCGTGAAATATTATAGGTGAATTGTTTTCAAGAAATCCAATCGTTTTCGAAACGTGATTAAATTTAAATGGGATAGAGGAGTAAATGTACGAATCCTGTTTCTTCTTCAATCTTCAAACTTCTCCAGTTGCTTGAATGGTATACCTATAAAAACAAAAAAAAAAAAACCCTGAAACTGGCCAAATTCGTGGCACATCGCGGGCCTCTATTAAGACGATTGGTGAAATCGCTATTGACAGGCTTCGACGACGGACATTACAACACCCTAGTGACACATTTTTAGGCGCTTCAGCGTGATTGGTCGTTCGAGTTGAACCCCGTGAGATCACTTGGCTGGATACGAGTAACCATCGTAAAAAAGGAAGGCCTAAAACATATGAGACAGACCTGAATATGAATTACGGAATACGGTGATTCGTAAGCAGCGCGAGAGATTTTTCGTACGGGAAAATGTTATAAGAGACACGGGTCAGACTCGACTTTTGCAAGGTTCTTCTTTTCTTGGTTACATTCTGCGTACTCGACGCTGCTTAGCTCCATCCGCGTTGAAGTAGACGTGAATATTTGATCGGTCCTTCAACCTTTGCCTCCTTTGCCCTCCCACAAGCCTCGCCTCTTACCTAACCCTCAGTCCCAGCTGCGGTGAATTATTTAACGCCCCCAGGGACACCAGTTACCAACATACATCTATGTGTCAGCCAGATTTTCAAACTCTTTTGTTCGTACAACTTCGTTCGAGCACAACACATGATCAGTACGATGACGTAATGCTTGATCCTACTTGCTAGCGCGGGCTTTCGTTAAGGTTAATGGTCCTAAAAATTTCGATCGATTTTTAAACTAATGACGAGAGAATTTTTAATTTTCAAACCAGTAATAATAACAGATTGCGAGTTGTTAGTTTCAATTAATGAAACACAAGATGTTGTTATTGTTAATATTATAAAGGTTAATATTATAAAAAGTAAATATAAGTACCTTTCTTTATTAAGATATTTCTTCGTAGTCCAATATTCATTAGCTTTTGTGTGAATGAACTCACGCAGATAAATATGTAGTACAAACGATTGAAACTAAATTACTGTAATTAATTATCAAGAGTAAAGTAGAAGATAAGTTTGGAATGTTTAACGCGCGTTCATTTGCAATTAAATAAGATTCGAGAGAGAAGAACAAAAGAATGCAACGATCCACGTGGTGATACTTGGAAACTTGAAGTAAAAAACCTACGATCGATAAATTACTGATCACTGATTAGAAATACTCTGAAAATAAATAGAATATACAATAAAATTTTAAGATTTTCTCCGAATAAAATAGAAAATCAAAATAATAATAGTTTAATGCACGGTTGTAGATTCAATGATTCAATATTTTTGTCACGATTTCTAACTTACCTACCATCATGATGTTTTATCTTCTCCATCCTTATCTACAAACAGTAAATTATACATTTTTATTTTTTTTATATAATGTGCTTATTCTTTATTTGTAATTTCAGTTAAGATTCCATTTATTCTGCACGCTAGAAAAATAGCTTGTTGTAAATTTCTAAATTATGATAATTTAAGATTCGCATGTAGTTCTTTCAGATAAGGTTAGTGTTACAGTCACAGACTGTGTATAACGTAGAATTCCTATTTTTAGGAATAAACTGAAATATTCATGGTATTAAAAAAAAAAAAAAAAAAAAAAAAACGATTTTGCATTGCTAATTACAATTTAAAATTATGCTTAATAAGCATTATCAACAATAATAATAGCTAGGTTAAATAATAAAATTTACCAACATGTCCTTGTAATCGAAGTTTATCTTCAATATGAGTCTAAATTATAATTTTATTGAGGTAGATATTCGATATTAATGCTCAAATTTATCGGCATTGATAATCGGATACTATTAACTCTAAAGATGAAATTGATTTTTGATAGCCTAACTTATCAGTTCCATTCCGTCGACATTTTATCTTATTTTCCACGAACAGCAGAACTGCACTTGTCACTAGCTGTTTTTCATTAATATGCTATCTTTGATCAGATAAGGTGGTTTAAGTTTCACCTGCGTGGCAAGCGAGTTAGTACTCGTCAATCACTGTGTTGTGTTTGATACAGTGACGCGAAAATGGCTGAAGGCTCCGAATTAATGTATTTTGATCTCAGACTGGTTCACGATCACTTCGATCGAGCACTCTTACAAGACGACGATATTGATCTCAAAGCCTATTTGGATGCCTACAATGAACTTTACAAGTAAGGTGGCAAAAGACTTTACTGTACATAACCTATAGCCAGCTGAAACATTGCATCTAGTTAATTTGTAATTTTCTTCTGAGTCTCAATTAAAAACATATGTTAGCTTATCTAATGCGTAATATCCATATCCTCACAATCTTTCATTGGTCTAAATTTGCAAATGCAATGTATATTTTCCTACCATCTGTTTTCTTGTTCAAAATGACACATGCATCGTGTAATCTCTTCCAGATTTTTCCAACTGATGGGCAATGTTTTTGCTTTTGTATCTTCTGACTTGAAGGAAAAGATTCAGATACTGAATGATTTGATGAATAAGGATGATCAGAATTATACCACGATAAAATCCATGATACAATATGAAAAGGAGAGCAAGATTCTGGACAAGGGAGATTGTACGAATGGTGCTCGTACACTGTTGAGGCTTCATAGAGGCTTAGGTATTACAATGTATGAAAATTTCTTTGTGAAAATTTACTGTATTCCACTTACTAATGTTTCCTGAATTTGTAGATTTTATTAGAGAATTTTTAAGACAATTGGGAGAATTGTCAGACAGTGACAAAACCTCCAGCTGTTGCCAAGATGCTTACAATAAAACATTAGCCAAGCATCATCCATGGGTGATTAGAAAGGCAGCAATAGTTGCTATGTATACAATGCCCACTAGAGAATTATTATTTAAAAAGGTATTTATTTTTTTCTCTTTGTAAAAAAATAATAGATCATTCCTCCTTTGTATCTTTTGTAGGTCTGTGGTACAGACGTCCAAAGGAACGTCGACGTTTTACCAAAGATGTTGGAAGTAACCGCGGATGTATTTAACCGAACGCACAATCTCTATAATTTTCATCAACTTCACAGTCTACCATAAGAATGCATTTAGAATATAAATTACATTGTACTTTCTTCTTGTTGCTCAAGAAAGCACGCAACATGAGCATTCCACATTCGAAATGTGATACGTTGCCATATATTGAATAGTGATATCATATCGATGTTTTTTCTTTACTTACTATTTTTTTCTTTACTTACTGATATTTCTTTACTTACTACTTATTACGATGTATTTATGATCACCGAAAACGTACAAAATGCACTAACGTTTCTTCGTTCATCATACTACCGTTTCAATCATCTTTTCTACACGGATCGATGCGCAAATTTGCAGACGATCGATGCCTCCGATAGTTATTTATCGACTTTAATATTTTTTGTTATAATGTAGTACTGTGCAATATTATCAAATAAGTCTGTCGAAAAAAACGTAGACTTCCTTATTTACCCTACCTATATTTACAGAAAATTATTTATCTTACGAAATGATGAATTAATGGCAATCACTGACGCACAGTTTGTTAACTGACAGTTGTGTTTAATGGCAATGCGTTCATTACTTGTTCGTTATAGTCATTGGATATCAACATTCCTAAAAATGAAATTTTATCAGTAAAAAGAAATCCAGACTTAAAAAAATAATCTATCGACTCTTACCTGCAATGCTGGCAGTGAGAAAGGTGGTTGCGCTACCAGCCACAAACGCTCTCATAACGGTACTGGCCACAATTTCTTTCTTGTCAGGAGCTAGAGTAGTCATCATGCTCATGGTAATTCCTACAGAACCAGGATTCGCAAATCCACAGATGGCAAATGTAGCTATGGCCTCAGCTCTGCCGAAAATTCGCCCTTGTTTCTTATATTTTCCCAGAGTTTCGTAAGCGACAAACTCATTGACCACAGTCTTTAAACCGATTAAAGTAGCTACGTCCTCACATTTGTCCCAGGGCACTCCCATGATCCAACTCAGTGGTATGAATACTTTCGATAAGATTAGCTGAAAAAAAAAAAAGAAAAACAATCTCAAGTTTCAGCAGAACGTATTAATCTCATTTAGTATTACATTTTATTTGATTTTAAGTATTTTAATTTTTTAAAATTTATTAGTATTTCCTCACTTCGAAAGTGAATCCTTTATAACCAACTAGTGATCCTGTCCAAGACAGAAGACTATTGACTAACGCGATAAATGACACGAATGCAACGATGTTAGCGATTATGCCAAAAACCAGAGGAATCGCAATCACAGCCCCTTTACTTGCAGCGTCTAACAAACTGGAGTCTTTTCTAAAACAATTTTTCTATGATAATTAAAATTTATCAAAGTGTTATCGTCGTAGTCCATTGTATTACAAAGAAATTTACGATTTTTCTAATCTAACGTTGTCGGCGGTGACGATGGCCTTTTCGGTTTCTGGATAAAATAATTTAGAGTAACAAAGAGCTGCTGGTGCTGCCATTAAAGTGGAGGTTATCAGATGAGTAGGATTTGCGCCAAACTTAATGTACGCAGCCAAAACAGTTCCTAAAATTAATTATGATTAAATTCTTTTTAATAAATGGAATTAATTAAATATTCATTTACTCACCTGAAACAGTAGAAAGACCAGAAGACATAATGGTGTGTAATTCCGAGGCAGTTAATTTATTCAAATAAGGTTTTATCATTAACGGTGATTCCGTCTGAAAATAAATATAATTCTTAATAATCAATATATATATGAAGTCATTAATTCAATTAATTGTATATAAATATAGTCCATAAAAAATGATTACAACACAGTATCATTAAAAAAACCAATTTATCGTCTTACCATTCCGAGAAAAATGTTTGCAGCACACGCTACTGACTCACAGATTGAAGTTCCTAAAATACTTTGCAGTATTTTACCTAAACTGAAAATTATCCATTGCATAACGCCTAAATAGTAAAAAATTTGAATAAAGAAGCTGAAGTAAAAGATCACAGGCAGTACCTGAAAGAGTAGAGTATTTTAATTAGCGAGGATAATTTATTTGATGGGTTAAAAAATAGGATTTACTGACCGTGAAAGCAAAGACACCGTCATCGACTAATTTGTCGGAGTAAATGAAGCTTGCACCGCTTTTGGCGAAATCCAGGAATGCTTCAACTTTGCTAGCTAAGCATTGAAAGATTGATCGACCAACTGGCCATCGAATTGAGATAAGACCAAAGAGAAATTGCAGTATCAATCCACATAAAACTGGCCTCCACTTGATCTGAACTTGTGAAAGAAGCTGATGTTATGTTTTTGATGCTGATATAAAGTACAATATATAATATCAAATATCTATTTCAATAACGACGAGAACAAAAATATAGGAAGTCTTCATAGTAAATGTATGTATAATATAATACGAATTAGATTAGAAATTTTTAAGCAAATTCGTATTTTTATGAATCTAAACAAATATTTGCTCCATCTACTAAATATTGTAAAAGATATATTGCAATGAAAAATGATAGAAATAAATTTATTGAATTTAAAAATAAGTATTTCCCTATATAGAATTGGTACCTCAATATATCTGTCTGATAATCCAAAACGAAAATAAATTAAAATCCGATCTAATCTTTATCGAAATGACAACTTGTACATTGAATATTATAATCTTGCAATATTTCACGCACGATTTACTCACATGACCAGGATGTTTTGAGAATATCCATCCAAAACTGAGCAAGGTAACAACTCCGATTGCGCTCATTAATCTCTCCCTTGAGTCAACGGTGTCGATAATGAGAAATATAATAATAGCAACAAAGACACAGACATAGATCACTGTCTGGATAACGAAACTGCCGTGTCTAAAAAAACCAGGAAATAAAACAATAGACTTAATCGTCTATGATATTATCTATCGTCACTTTTGAACAGATTGCGAATTTTTGCATTTTGCATGCGTTTTTAAAAACATTCAGATATTTCCAACAATATTGAAAAATTTTTTCGTGGCTCTATTATATAGTCTTGAAGATTGAAATCTCTAAACTAGTTGTACGATTTTTTTCACTATTTTATGGAACTTTGAATATTATAGTTGAATAAAACTCAATAAAATAGTGAAAATAAATCGTACCGTAAGTTTTAAAGAGTCGTTTAATCTTCAAAACCATGGTAAATTTAGTGATGAAAATAATTTTTCAATGTTTTTAAAGAGGTCTGAATTTTTACAATTTTCGAGGACAAGAGTATTCTCACTTTCTCACCAGCTATACGACATTTTTTTGATTTTTTTGATCTCTAAAGGAAACAAACTCTGAACGATTAAATATAAGACATAATATCGACAATATTCTTTTCATTGTATACTCATGAAAATTTTGAAATGCACAAAAATCCGCCATCTACATTATAAAATTATTGAATAGATATTTTTACTTCGTCTTGCGAAAACTTCTGATAAAGTTGATACATGGTCGACTACAGTATTTAAGGAATTTTTTTCCGTAGTAATGATAAAGAATACCGCCATAAACGATCGTTAACAAGAGGATCAGCAGTCCGTAACCGTTGCACCAATCGATGTTGTTCTCGTAATCTGACAAAAGTCTCAATTAAATAAAATAAAGAAGTGAAAGAATTTTTAGAATTCTGACTCACTGTTGTTGATCCAATATAGCGTGGCGAAAACGAAATAAATTACTATGACAACATTCAGCAGAGATAGAAAGAAGATCTTGAACGCTAAACGATGTTTCGACTGAAAATTGCTAAAGGCATCGCATCCTCCTTGTAAATAACCTCTTGATTTTTGTATTCTTTCCTGAAAGAAGAAACCAGATATACATGTATACGTCTACTCTATAGTACAAGCGATAACGAAGATAATGTTGTACAAAATACGCAATTTTCGTTGATATCGAGATAAAGAAAAATGCCAGTGAATTATCGATCGACTTCGTTGAATAGCATTCCTTTGCAATTGTGATTACAAAAGAAGAAGTGCCACGTGTATACCTTGCCTTCTGTTACTGCTTCACCTGTCATACGTCCAACTTCCAGTGTGTCTAACTCGTTGGTCTGTAAAAATTACGGAACTTTTGTTAAAAATCAAGTTGAATTTCATTTGAATTCCTGATGCAAATATTATTTCCATGTTATAGAAAATACTATGTTATATCTGTATATTATTTATTTATATATAATATTACCTTATGTTTAAATATTCTCCAGAATTTCACTACCACATAATATATAGTATACCATGATGTATATTATATGTAAATATTAAAGATCTTTTATAAATGTAAAAAATAAACATTCGTGAAATGCTTAAAATCATTCAATACCGTATGATATCTCTTATAACACAGAAAGAATATCTCTCTGTAATATTTTGCGGAATTAAACGAGTAATATAAACGAACACATTTTTACTAAGACAATTAGCACGAAGGAATATTAAACATTAAATATAAAAACGAAGAAACTTAGTTAAAAATAATTACTTACGGAACACTAATCATAGAAATAATATTCAACTAATAATATAAGAGAGAATATTAATTAATAGTCTAAGAGAGAATATTATTAATTTTAATAAGACAACTAGTGCAAGAAAATATTAAATACGAAATACCTCGAACGCGTGATTGACAGTCCCAGCCATGTCTCCAGTACAAACGTGTTTTCCCTGTCAGACGCAGCTAGTTACTGGCACAAACCTCGCTAACGCATGCTTCGTAATCGAGGAAAAGGAATAACAATTATTTCTATAGAAGCGGGAATTGTCAACGGCAATAGGTAATTGATAAGTGGGATGATAATTATTTGTGTAGATAACGTCGATAAGGATCTCATGTTTAAAAATAGCGAATTTTACAGAATGAACGGTTCAATTCTTAAGCAATTTATTAATTTTCTCCAAGTAGATACACAAACGAGATAAAAAAGAGTAAACCGTTTCTTTTCAAACTATGTATACGATCGTAGCTTTAGTGATAGAAAAATCTTTTGATAATTAACGATATGACTTTTCCCAAATACATAAATAAACAAAATAATAAAAATTAAGCTACGTCTTTTCTAATTACGCGTGCACGGTCGTGAGATCTGACTGACAATTGAAATTAAAATATAAGATATTAAATAAAGATCATCAATCACGATGAAAATTAACACTCGACAGATTAGAAAAATATATGACCGATATTTCGATTCACGTGATACACCTCTTTATATCGCTGGAGATCATCGTCAACCGTTTGACAGCAGTTCGATGAGTAGGTAGTAGTCATTATCATCATTGGATAGTAGGGGATTATAATGAATTTCGAGTACAAGATTCTACAATTGACCTCGTTTCATGCGATCGGCCTCGAGTCGCTTAGAGAACAGGGGTTTGGCGAGTTAACTATCGCCGATTTCTACCTGCCGCGCGATAAAACAGTAAGTACCACGCTTATCGTGCTGATTATGCCTATTTGAGTCGCCAGCTGATATGTACATACGTACAGTTCATTGTTGTTACCAAGGTAATATTCAAATTACTGAAAATTTTTTGTCTGCTTAAAGAAGTTTATTTCGAGGCTCTTATGTGTATTTATATTTTAAGACACTAATAATTATGATAGCATTTTAAAATAATTTTAAAGACGCGAAGTCTTATTAATAATTAAAATTATTTTAGGCTTTAGTCCCAATTGAAACAATATTGGTAGATGTTGGTACTTATGATACTTAATTTACACAGGTGACAGACGATATAAAATAAAAGAAACAATATCCTCATTCAAAAATTAAAATTAAGAATAAAAATGTAGGACTCGGTGAAATTAACGGGTCAAATGGGAAGCAGTTTATAAGAAATATTAATTTTTAAAGTCTTATTTCATTCTAGCTATTCTATTCTAACTTTGGCTGTCTAAATATTAATCCATACAAAAAGGAATGATTATCAAAATAACAGAAGCCTATGATTCTTGTATCGTAACGATACTTCTGATAGCTTTTATCTAAATAATATTCGTTGTAAATTGTTGTAAACATAATGTTGTAATCGACAAAATCATAAAACGTGGATGGCGAATTTCTTACTCGAAGTAGTCCATCAAAAAAATGTTAAGTTCCCTCAACAGCTAATTTTCATTAGTTCAGAAAATCACTTGAGCAATAACAAAAAACTTATAGCAAATGTCTTTTATTATGATAATTTATCATATGTTTACTTGGTTTGAAAATTTTTGGACAACAACACGGAGAGGCGACAATCTTGAAGGATTCGAGTTCGATTCGAGTGTCTCGTTCATCCAGCGAGCCCTGAATTCGAAAGGGACCAGCGAATTTCGGGGGGGACAGGGCAATTGTATCGAACGACAGGTTGAAAAAAAATTCCTGGCTCTTTTTCACACGAACCTGGTGCGTCGATCACGCGATGACGCGTCGTCGTAACGGATTGTGGGTGAAGACGGACGCGAAACGCAATTTAACAGGGCGAAGTCGCGACGATCGTCGATACTTTCTCTTGTCTTGGTCCAATCGAAATTCTTCCGCCGTGTGCACGCGCGTTAGCAAACCGGAAAACCGTGCTCGTAATCGACGATATCTGTCTGCAATTTGGATTTCAACTCGAAAAAAACACGAAGATCCCACGCGATTCTGCGTAACTAGACAACGTTTTTTGCGTTTATAGGAAACGTTAACAGTTCAATAAACTTATACGTATAAATGCTGAGTAATTCACAGTTCGTACAAACACTTATACGTATAAATGCTGAGTAATTCACAGTTCTTATAAACACTTATACGTATAAATGCTGAGTAATTCACAGTCCTATTCAATTGAATTTCATTTATAAAGTTTGTGTTTCTTTTCTGTTTCGTTTGAAACTTTAATTACAAGTTTGACGGTAGTGTGCTTTCACTACTGAGTGGGTCATTATTATCCTGTAAAATGTTACTACTTGAATTGAAGAAAGTCTATGTTCATTTGGAATGATTTACTAATTTGGCACAATTTTTTATGAAACACTCTGGACTCTAACTCTAAAATTTCAAGAAATAATTACTATAACAATAATAATTACTATAAGAAAGTATTATGTTTTAGTACGTAAAACAATTTTTCAGAATCCCAAGACTTTTTTCCGAAATTCACCGTGTATTCTTAAAAAATCTGATTAAGCATCTTTATAGAGTGCAAAATCTTGGGCACAATCCTCGAAACGAACGCAATTTCTCGACAAATTCGTAATTGTTCCCGTGTCTCTCTTATTAAATGATTACGTTCTGCGATTCCTCTCGCGCACAATTATCATTCTTATCGTTCAAAGAGCTCATCTTGTAACTTTCTCGCGGTCAATCATTACTAGACTGCGAATCTTTCTACGACTTGATATATTTGAAAAAATAATTAAAGAAAAAAAAAAAAAAAAAAAGAAAGAAAGAACAGAATCGCAGTAATCGAAACAAAATTTGTTGCTCTAAGTAAATCGTTTTCATTCTTAAGTATGTCACGAAGAATTTTATCATGATACAATAAAAGAATAAAGACGATTTGTAACGGAGAATTTCACTGTGAGAATGATGAAATTCCGAACGAAAACGACTCGTTGCATTTATAGTCAATGTAAATGGTATTAACGTTTAAATTGAATATTACGTAACTGAGGAAAATTACGAAAGTAATCCGCAGATATATCTTGAAAAAAGTGGCATTCCTTAAAATCTCGAAAAGGATGTCAGCGTGCGCAAACACGCATCTTATCGTCTCGGTCTCCCAGAAAGACTGTCTGGACTCTCATGTTGGCACTAGATACATAATCAGTCGCTCTTGCATGTCAAAGCTTTCACCGATTTATTTAGGAAATGTGTCGCCTGGAGCGTAAATAAGTTGGAACACCATCGTCCCTTTCCATCAAATTATATAAGAAGGCTGATTTATGCGCGTACCCGAATAATGGGAGAGGCGGACTTCTTGAGCGCGCGTGGACCGATCGAAGGTCTTCTTGGAAAGAAAAGATCGATTGGACAGCGAATTATACATACGAACGGCATAACTTCGAAAAAAAGAACCTTCGGAATTTATTTTGCTTGCAGTATGATCGATTCAAGAGAAAAGAAGAACAATTAATCGAGATCTGGGTAGTCTAACCTGTTGCTCTCAAAGAAGAAGCTAGTTTTCCAATTTTTAAATCACACGATATCACTCCGGTGATCAATTTAAAATTACAAAATTACACAATTTTGGTGATTGTTGAAAATTGTTTCGCAGGCTAAAAATTAACTTTTAATTGATCGTAGAAAGCGATCAACAAGTTAATTCGATGGCGCGTAAAATTAAAACGAGACGGAGATGAGGCGGTTCTTATCTATCTGAGACGCGACGGGCGTAATTCCAGCACGAGGGAGAGTCACGTACAAATTTCTGTAGGAAACCAGGCCCGCGTGTTTTTCATGTGCTATCTGACGCTCTAACTGCGGGGAATTTGATTTCCTAGACAGTGCTTATACAGCGACTGCTACTATGGATGGTAAGAAGCGGAACTTATCGCAAACAAAGAGAGATAAACTAACCTTGATTAATATCTACAGAAAGAATTTTCTTATTTGTCGATCAGTTCATAGATCAGATATCAAACTTCAATTTTTATCAAGCTACTCTGATATTTTCTGCAGTTTTTTTTCAACTACAGTTTCAAATTTAAACTACTTAAATTTTAAAAAAATGTCGAAAATGGAATGAAATTGTAGAAAAATCTTCTGTTTCCTAAATTATTTTGTGAAAATTTTGAGATCAAAATAAAAGAAACATTAATTGGTGCAATTTTCACAAGATTTCCAGCTCTTTAGAATTTTAATTGATTAGAACTCCTCCTGAATTGAAATGAACCATAATAATGTATATTGTGTCAAAACTGAAGAAGTTATTTTAAAAATTATTTCTTTTCTGTTTAATTCAAAATATTTATAACCTATGTAATATACTATAAAACATTAGTTAATTCTACTCAAAGATGATAAAAATTATTTAATTACACTGAATGGTGCAGAAAACATAGGAAACTTCACCTTGAAAAATGAAAAATTATTGAATATTATCTAATCAAATTATTGAATATTATCTAAGAAGAATATTTTATCACTTATATATTAGTCGGTAGATATTTTAAAAATAAGAAACACTACAGACACGATTCAATTATCGCGTTGAACAAAACTGAATTCGAACTTGTTTCGATTGTCAGTTTTTCCTCAATTGCGTTCGATAAATCCCGAATAATGTTGTTTCCACGAATAGAGGAAACGAATAAATGGAAATTGTATCTCAAGGCACAGATGACTGCGTCAAACGAACGATTGACGTACGGATTCCGGCCATTCAGACGCAATTTGCATTTTTCGGAACGACCCACCCCGCCGAACTGTCTACGGCCTTGATAATTCTGCACACCTCCTCTATTTTCCTGCTCTACGTAGTAGAATTTAAGCAAGCCAGTTTTAGGTCTCTGGCGCTCGGCCAAATCCGTTGAGAATAGCGAAATCCGAAGAGCATAACTTATGGATAAACATCGGCGTTACATATGCTTCTGAACACGCGGCGTTACGTTGCCTCTTTACTCGAAAAATCTTCGATAAAGGAACTTTTGACAAGATTCAAGAATTCATCGTAACCTAACCCTTTAAATATGCCATCGGCAGAAGAAAAACAGAAATATTGTTAATGAATGAACCATGTTAAAATTTGGAATATTAAAGATAATACAGCATACCAGAATATTCGAACATTTAGCATTTCTCGTGAATTTTTATGAATTTTTATGAATACGGAGACTTGTTGAAGTTTTTAATTTATTAACATTTGAAACCACCAATTGATAAATATTGTTAGACATTAATGTTTACGCATTTTTGCATTTTTATGAACTTAACTAGAAAAATGATGCTGTTCAAATACTTTGGTGATTTTTGCAAAATAAGCGCAATAAATTATCTTGCGGCTTCTTTGTATATTTTCGAGTCAACTTGTCCCAACCTAAGCACGATAGTCGATATCACATCGTAAAGTGTTAATGAAATTTCAAAATGTTAGCACACCTCGTCAGTAGTCGTTTAAGTTCAGTTAATAAATCATTGTGTATGACAATCATAATTTGTGTAATATAATTATATGTTATTTCTCCGCCGTAAAATAAATATTTGCATTAATTCGCGAGAGCGTGCGTTTACGCGTGGAGGTTCGTTGAAAGTTCATTCGATTAGGCTCACTTGCTGACACGTACATGACAGCATGCTTTGCCGTTTATTCCACGTTTGACGGAATTTATGAAAATGTGGCATTACTTAAAGGGTTAAGCTATCTACGCCATCTCGAAAATCGCTGAACACAACAGAACCGAGAAAGATGCAGAGAGAGGCTGGGAATATGATCGTGCCGGAAGATGAGGGA